AAGGGGCAGCAGAAGCAAGGGGACCCCTCTCATTTTCCTCTCCCTCTCCGCTCTCCTCTCCTCACCCCCCAGTACTACTATCCTCCTTATCCTCCAAATCGCCTTTTCTCCTCCTCCTCCTCCTCCTCCTCCTTTTCCTCCATCCTCCTCTGGTCCTCCTCCGGTTCCCCTCCTCCCTCCTCCTCCTCCTCCTCCCCCTCGAGCCTCCGTCCTTTCCTCCCATCCCTCCACCCACACCCACCCTCCTCCCCTCTCTCCCTCCCGCCTCCCTCCCCTCCCTCCCCTCCCGCCCCCCCCTCCCTCCCCCCCTCCTCCTCCTTCTCCATCTTCCTCCTCATCCGCCCTCTTGCTTCTCCTCCCCCTCCTCCTCCTCCTCCTCCTCCTCCTCCTCCAACTCCTCCTCCTCCTCCTCAACCTCCTCCACCTTGCCTGCAGCCTCGCCGTCGCCGCCCTTGAGGGCCTGCAGCGCCGCTGCCATGGATTTCTCCACGGCGACCTTGAACGTCGCCTCCTCAGCCCCCTCCCCCACGCCCTCCAGGAAGCCGACGTCCTTGGGCCTCAGCATCTGCACCTCGTCCTCGCGCCCCGCCGCCTCGGCGGCCACGAGGTACGGCACCCGAAGAGTGACCGTCTCGACGGCGGGCTTCGGCAGGCGCGGCCTCTGCGGCGGCGCCGCGGGCGCCGGGGCCGCCCCGGCCTCCTCCTTCGCTGCCGCTGCGGCGGCCTCCTCTGGCCCCTCCTGCGGCCCGCCCGCCCTCTCCTTCGCGACGGCGTCGGCCTTCTCCTGCGGGCGCGGGAAGGAGCGGAGGGGGGGGGGCGGGGGGAGGAGGAGGAGGAGGAGGAGGAGGAGGAGGAGGAGGAAGGGAGGAGGAGGAGGTATGAAGGAGGAGGAGTGAGGGAGGAAGGAGGAGGAGGAGGAGGAGGAAGGACTCACGAGGAGGACGATGAGAGTAAACGAGGAGGAGAGGAGGGAGGAGGGGGGGGAATGTATGAGTAGGGGGAGGTGTCTGGGGGAGGAGGAGAAGGAGGAAAGGTGAGGATGAAGGGGGGCGTAGGAAATGGAGGAGGAAGAGGGGGAAGGCAGGGATGATGAGGTAGGAATGGGGAGGTAGGAGGAGTGAGGATGAGGAGGAGGAGTAGTGATGAGGGGGAATTTCCGAGGCGCTGTAGGTTAATCCCCCCGCTCCCACGCGGCCCACTCAAACGCCAGGCCGGCCCAGGCGTCGCCCACGAGGCTCCACTGGGGCGGGCTCGCGGCGACGTTGCAGAAGACGTCGAAGGACTCCCACTTGGCCGCCAGAGTGGCATCCGAGTCCTTGACGGCGTGAGCCAGGTAGGCAGGCACCACGACGTCCGAGGCGATGCTGTCGCACCCTTTGCCTCGGGCGCCATGGGGGGGCTTCCTCCTCCTCCTCCCTCCTCCTTCTCCCCCTGAGGCCCTCGTCCTCCTCTCCTCCTCCTCCTCCCCGGGCGACTCCCCCCCCTCCTCCCCTTTCTACTCTCCCCCTTTTCCTCTGGCAGGAAACGGCACCTCCTCTGGGCGGAGGAAGAGGGGGGAACGAGCGGGATGACGAGGAGAAGGACGACGATTACACAACGACAAACGGCGCGCCTGTGACGTAAAAGCTCGTGCCCATCCAGCGGCACAAGCAGCGCGCCTTGTCCGAGTAGGCGGTGCTCACCGCCCCCGCGAACATCAACTTCACCCTTTCGAGGTCATCAAACGGGCACACCAGGAAGATTTTGTCCTTCTTGCCCGACGCCGCCTGCTGGACCTGGACTCGCAGGTTCATGCCTGCAGCTGCAGCTGGAGCTGCCACCTCTGAGGCGTAGCGTTGGTCGAGTGCGAACTGGAAGAAACTGCGCGCAGCTCGAACGGCGGCCATCTTGGCCGCGCCTGTCATCTCCGGGGCGCCCACGACGACGGCCTGGTCGAGAAGCTCGCCGAGGCTGACCATCTGCTCCTTACAAGGGGGCCGCAAAAAAAAAACGTTATCCTTCTCCTTCTCCGCCTCCTTCTCCTCTCCTCTCCTCTTCCTCCCTTATCTCCTCCTCCCTCCCTCCGCCACCTGTCCAAACGGACCGTGAGCCGTTCGCCCGAACCTCTGGCGCTGCCATCGGCACCGATGTTTGCGAATAGTCAAGCCCACCCCCAACCCCTCCCCCCCCGTTCTCCCCGACCCCAGCGCTGCTGGATGAGAGGGGGCGGCGGGGGGGCGGAAGGGGGGGCGGAGGGGGGCCACGGAGGAGGAGGAGGAGGATGAAAAGGAAGAGGAAGGAGGACGAAAAAGAAGGCGGGGGAGAAAGAGAAAGAGTTAAGACCAAGAAGATGTCGGGGAGATCAAGGAGGGAAGAGACAGAAGGAGAAGAAGAGAAGAGGGGGAGGAGGGGAGGAGGGAAAGAGGGAAGAGGAAGAAGGATGAGGAGGAGGAGGAGAAGGAGGAGGTGGAGGAGGAGGAGGAGGAGGGAAGAGGGACAAGGAGCGGAGAAGGGGCATTGCCAATGCACGCGGCCCGCGCGCGTCGCTAGGCCACGGCGGCCATGGCCTCAAGCGGGAGAACCCGGAGAACCTGCGGAGAGGCGGGGGGGGGGGATGGGGACAGGGCATGGCGGGCCGCGGCAGTGGCAATGGCCTGACTGACGACGCGACGACGCGAACGACCCGACACGAATGCGACCCCCCTCCGTGTTCCTCCTCCTTCTCCTCGTCGACGGCGGGGGCGGCAAGCGCGGCCGCGGCCGGGGGCGCCGCCAGCTGCTGCTGCTGCAGCTCCCCCTCCTCCTTCACCGGCCCGTAGTCGATGCGCAACTCCTTCGCCAGGAGCCCATCGATATAGGTGAAGGTATCCTTCAAAGGAGGCGCCTCGCCCGTCGGGGCCGCCACCGAACGCTCGATCAGCGTGGTCCACGCGAGGGTCCACTGGCTGAGGGAGCGCGCCGACGCGTCCATGGAGATCGCAGACTGGCGAAGGGCAGGCGTAGCGGCCAGCGCGTCCGAGAGGGCGGTGGTGGTGGACAGCTTCAGGTCGGCGAGCACGCCGATGACGTACTGACCACGGAGCTGGGAGAACCAGTTCAGCTTGGACACGTCGCACCCGAGCTGCTGCTTGATGAGCTCCGTCTTGGAGTCCATTGGCCCGAGACGCAAGCCAATGCCGAACTTCCGGATGACCCCGAAATCATTGAACGACAAGAAATGTTTCTCCAAGTGCTGGCTCACAGCGTGAAGCACGGCCGATATCTGTTCCTTCCCGGACTTCGACGCTGTGCCGAGCGCCTGCGTCAACATGCGCACGCTTGCCAAGATCTCCTGGAACTGGGCTTGCTGCGAGACGTCGGCGCCGAAATCAATGATGCCCATGCGGGCCTTGATGACCCCGGCTGCCAGGTAGTCCTCGCTGGACCAGTTGGAGCCTGGGTCTAGATAGGGAGAAAAAACTATCCTCCTCCTCCTCCTCCTCCTCCTCCTCCTCAGCTCCTCAGCCTCCTCCTCCCTCTCCCTGGGGCCTCTTCCATCCCCCCATCTCTGTCTGTCTGCTGGTCCTGTGGGTTTTGTTTCTCAGTGCTTCTCTTTCTCTTTCTCTTTCTCTCTCTCTCTCTCTCTCTCTCTCTCTCTCTCTCTTTCCCTCTCTCTCTCTCTCTATCAAAACGGGCACCGTTTCGCACTCTCGTTTCATTCAATCCCCCCTCTAACTCTCTATCTATATACCTGTGCGTCTCTCTCTCTCTCTCTCTCTCTCTCTCAATCTCTACTCTCTCTCTCTCTCTCTCTCTCTCTCGTCTCGGGTCTCTATATATGGCGGTCGTCTCCTCGTGCCTCGCGCCCATTTCTCACTTCAACATCCTCTGAGACTCTCACCCCCTCCTCCATCCCCTCCCTCTTCTCTTCTCCCTGTCTCTGTATCCCTCTCGCCCACTCTCTCTCTATCCCTGGTAACCCTCCCTCATTTTATATATATGTTTTCCTGTCTTCCCCCTCTATCACTTTCCCTGTGTTGACGCTCTCTGGCGTCGCGTCTCTCTCATCGCCTCTCCTTGTCTCTCTTGCTCTTTCTCTCTCTCTCTCTATCTCTGTCTCTCTCTCTCTCTCTCTCTCTCTCTCTCTCTCTCTCTCTCCTCTCTCTCTTCTCTCTCTTATCTCTCTGCTCTCTCCTCTCTCTCTCACTCTCCCTCTCTCTCTCTCTCTCGCTCTCTCTCTTCTCTTCTCTTCTCTTCTCTCTCTCTCTCTTTCCTCTCTCTCTCATCTCTCTTCCTCTCTCATTCTCTCTCTCTCTCTCTCTCTCTCTCTCTCTCTCTCTCGTCTCTCTCTCTCTCTCTCTCTCCTTTTCTCTGTTCCTTTCTTTCTTTTTTTCTCTCTCTCTCTCTCTCTCTCTCTCTCTCTCTCTCTCTCTCTCTCTCTCTCTCTCTCTCTCTCTCTCTCTCCGTGTCTCTCTTGCTCGAGGCTCACGCTCTCCATGCCCCGCTTCCCCGCATCCCGAGCCACGCCTCCCTCTTCCCCTCCCTCCCTCCTCCACCCTCCGCCGCCGCCGCCTGCTGCCGCCGCCGCCTGCGCCCCCGCCTCCGCCTCGGCTGTCACGGCGGCCAGAAGCTGCGACGCCAAGGACGCAGCGGTCACCTCGCCGGCGCCGAATGCCCCCGCCGCCGCCGCCGTCGCCCCTGGCATCAGCGACAGGCCCCTGCCCAGCATCGCGACGTTCTCCGCCCTGAAGTCCGAGTACCTCAGGCCCCCGCTGGCGACCGCCCAGGGGAATGGATGCAGGGGAAGTGCGAGGGCGGCAGGTCGAAAAATGGACGAGCGAGCGAGCAGAAAAAGCAAAAGGAATCGCCAGGGAGAACAACCAGGGGACCAGGAGAAAGTGCAAGAGGACGAGGTGGAGGAGGAGGACGAAGAGAAGGGAGGGGGAGCACGGCGGAGAGAAGACGAAGGAAGTGGGAAGGCGGGCGACCAGGAACAGGACGAAGAGATGGCTGAGATGGGTGGGTGAGTGAGAGGGGGGTACTTCTCGATCTGTTTCCCACGATAGTTCACGGGGGGCTGCCACACGAACTTGAATAATAGGTTGAAACTGATGGCCCGAAGCGTGGACACGTGCTTCTCCAACGCGCCGCCCACCCGACTCTCTTCGGACGTGACAGAGAGAATCGCGTTGACCGAGAAGCAGTGGTCCTCCAGGATGTTGACGGGGCGGCTGCCTGACTTGATGCTGATGCGGTCCCTGAAGCCCTTGAGCTCAGGTGGCAGCTCGAGCTTGGCGGTGGCCTTCAGCCTCGCCTTCTCGGCAACGGCCTTAGCCTTGGCAACAGCCTTCCTTGCCTTCTTATCTTTGGATCCAGACGCTGCCGGCGCGACGTCTGCATATGATGCCTCAGCATCCTTAGCCGCCTCCTCCAACTCGCCGACCTTACCAGGGAGAGACTCGCGCAGCGCCACGAGCTTCTTGAAGACTGCACTCCCCCCGAGCGAGGTCTTGAGCATCTCGAGCTTTTGCATTGATTCTGGGCCAGACCTCTCAAACAACCACGGGGCTTCCTGGCCTCCAGCAACAGAGAGCCCGTCACCCGTGGGGGGGTATAGTGGCACCATGAAGTGAATAGCCGCCAAGACTGCTGCCGCGCAAGCGTGCTGCCCGATGACTGGCAAGGCAGACTCGAATGTTCCGCAAAGGGCCCTCAAATTCATCGTCGCCGCCCTGTGGTTGAGGCCGTCGGCCCGGAAGTTGCCGCGAAGCTTCCAGAGCTGAATGACCTCGTCGTAGATGCCAAGCTTTGTGAGGAAGTTGTAAGTAATTTTACTGTCCTTGAAATCCTCCTCCCTTTCCCAGATCTTCTTAAACGTGTTATGAGACTTTGTCCAATTCCACCACTTGGACGCGTAGTCACCATCGCTGCTCTTGGCGCCAACCGCCTTCTTGCCCTGCTGATCCCAAGCAGCTTTGTTCGCCTCCACCGCTCGCACCTTGGACGGGGGAACCCGGGGGGGCCTGGGCCTGGACCTCGACCTCAGAACAATCCAGGAGGGGCGAAAGCACGACTGGAAACCCCGACGGCGCCCAGGCCCCAAGGGGCCCCAGGGGGACCCGGGGGTCCCGATGGCGGCGGGCAAGGCTGGCGCGGTGGCGCGAGGTTACTGGCGAAGACGAGACCTTCTGCAGGTACGTAACGCCAACCCCTTTGTGATGGTCGTTGTGTTCGTTCATCAAGAAGATGATCGCTGGCTCCGGAGTTGCCTGGTGGAACTCCACCACGCCAGAGAGGCCGTTCTAAGGGGGCGAAGGAAATACTCAAGAGAAACCCATGGCCTTGGGCCTTGGACCCCTGGACACCTGAACCCCCCAAGGCCCCTGAGGGCCCCGGAGATCGGGATCGAACAAAAAAACGCCAGGGGCGGCCGCTGCGAGCGAACGGCGGCGGCCGCAGAGTGGGGCGCAAGGGCAGAAGGGAGGAACAGACGGAGGCGGAGGTGGAGGAGGAGGAGGAGGAGGAGGGGGAGGAGAGGGGGGAAGGGGAGGAGCAGGAGCAGGAGGAGCAGGAGCAGCGCAGGAGGAGGAGAGGAGGAGGAGGAGGACGAGGGGGGCGATGACGAGGCGGGACGACGACGAGGAAGATCGAGGAGAAGGAGGATAAGGATGAAGGGGCATCGACAAGCTGTCCTGCAGCATCTCGATGACGGGCTCTTCGCCCATGTGCCTCTCGAAGCACCGGTACACGGCGGAACTGCGGTTCCCCCACGTGAAGGCCTTCAAAGGGTACACCGGATTCCCCGCATGGTCAGCAGACCACTGCAGCCACGGCTCCCCTCCGACACCCTCGCTCAAGCCATCGCGTTTCATCTCGTCAGCAGTCTCCTCGATGTTGCCCATCATGCCCCGCTCGTTGATGGGGTGGAGAACAATGGAGGGCTGCCTGGCCCCCGCGGCGTCCGTGTAAAACCAGGGGTGAGTTGACGGCGCCTTGTTGACCTAGGCGGTAGGCGTCCAAAGTCTAAGTTGGGAGGGTGCAGGTTGAGTAGGTCCCGCGGGTCCCTGAATAAGTTAAATAAGGAATCCGAGGTCTCACGACCAGCGCCGCGGCCGCGCGCGCCCCCTAGCTTGCCTGGGTCGGGCCTGCGCATATCTCCTCTCCATCCCTCCCTCCCTCCCTTCCTCCCTCCCTCCCTCCTCCTACTCCTCCTCCTCCTCCTCCCTCCTCCTCCTCGGAGCCTCCTCCCACCCTCCCCCTCCTTTCCGCCTCTTCCTCCGCCTCCTCCTCCTCCTCGGCCGCAGTCTCCCCCTCGGAGACCCGGAACGTGTCTTTGATCCTCGCCAGCATGGAGGCGTTGCTTCGCTTGCCGAACACTTCCTCCAGATTTATGTCGGGGTTCCACTTGGCCCGCTCCGCATCCTCGGCAAGCTTTTCCACTCTCGACTGCAACGCTCCAATGGCCGAATACTTGTCAACGATTGACGAGTTAGAGCTGGTAGCGACATCTTGGGCCAGCGCCTGGATATCTGGCCCCGCCGGCGACGCCGCGGCCGAGCCCGCGGCGGAGGCATGGGCATAGTCATCAGTCCTGCGGCGACGCTTCGCTGAAACCGCGTCGGAGGGGGTCTCGCCGAGCATGCGCGTCCTGGGGGGCCCGGTCCGCGGCGAGGATGGAGCGGGCCCGCCCGAGGGCTGCCCGGCGGAAGCACGGCGGTGCAGCTGGGCACTCTTGCCGCCCATCTCCCTGGAGGCGAGAAGGGGCAAAGTGCGCGCTGGGGTGCTGCCGAACTGAATCGGCCGTCAAACTGCCCGCGAGAGAGCGGCGGCGCTGAAATCGAGCCGAACAAGCTTCGGAGAGAGGGCGCCTAGAGCCCCACCGTGTCGCCATCCCCCCGTTCCCCCCCGGCCCCAAGACACGGTGGCCCAAGGGGCCCAACCAATGTGGCATCGCGATTCCAGGATTGATGGCGAGGTGGGCATATGCTGGCAGGGGGGTGCTGAAGAGCCCCCGGAGAAGTTCGAACCTACCCCGCCGCCCGAACAGACCCCCGACCATTCAAGGCCTCGGATGGAGAACGAGGACGAGAGGAAGAGGGGGGAGGGAGAGGGGGAGAGAGAGAGAGAGAGGGAGAGAGAGAGAGAGAGAGAGAGAGGGAGAGAGCAGTAGATAGAGATAGAGAGGGAGAGAAAGAGAGAGGAGGAGTGAGAGGAGTAGAGAGTGAGGAGAAGAGAGAGGAGAGAGAGAGAGAGAGAGAGAGAGAGAGCGAGCGGGAGAGAGCGAGAAAGAGCGATAGAGGGAAGAGGGGAGGGAAAGGGGGGGAGGGAGGAGGGGGGGGAGAGGGGGGGAGGGGAGGGAGGGAGGGAGGGATAGAGAGAGAGAGAAGAAGAGAGAGAGTGGGGGGGGGGAGAGAGAGAGAGAGAGAGAGAGAACAACAAAAAAAACAAAAAACAGAGATGGACGAGAAGCGGGCGGGGAGGGCGAGAAGGCGCTGGAGGTGGAGGCGAGGGGGGGCCCAGGCCAGGGCGGCGGCAGGGCGGCTGCAAGCAACTGAGGCAACGCAGGACAGCAGGAAACAAGTACAAAGCAGCAGGCCAGACAGCAAGCAAGGGAGAGAGAGAGAGAGAGAGAGAGAGAGAGAGAGAGAGAGAGAGAGAGAGAGAGAGAGAGAGAGAGAGAGCGAGAGAGAGAGCGAGAGAGTGGAAGAACACGAGAAACGGCGAGAGAGACGGCGAGAGAGAGAGAGAGAGCGAGCGAAACATGTTAAACAACACGTTTGGAACCAGGGCGTTGCTGTCGAAAGTTGCGCGCAGCTGCGAGCGGTGAGCGGGGGAGAGGCTGAGGAAGAGAAAGAAAGAGAGAGAGAGAGAGAGAGAGAGAGAGAGAGAGAAGATAGGAGAGAGAGAAGAAGAGGAGAAGAGAGAGAGAGAGAGAGAGAGGAGGAGAGAGAGAGAGAGAGAGGAGGAGAGAGAGAGAGAGAGAGGAGGAGAGAGAGAGAGAGAGAGAGAGAGAGAGAGAGAGAGAGAGAGAGAGAGAGAGAGAGAGAGAGAGAGAGAGAGAGAGAGAGAGAGAGAGAGAGAGAGTCACATCCTCGAGCGGCGCCGCATAGGCATAGGCAGCGGCTGCCGCAGCAGCAGCGCAGGGCGCGGCGGCGGCCAGTGGCGCTGCCCGAGGCGCCCCCGCCGCGCCGCCCAGCCCCGGGGGCCCCGCCTGAGGTCGCGTGGGAGGGGGTCTCACTCTCTCTGTCTCTGTCTTCTCTCTCTCTCTGACTCTCTGTCTCTGTCTCTCCCTCTCTCTCTCTCTCTCTCTCTCTCTCTCTCTCTCTCTCTGTCCTCTTCTCTCTCTCTCTCTCTCTCTCTCTTCTCTCTCTCTCTCTCTCTCTCTCTCTCTCCCTCTCTCTCTCTTGTCTCTCCTGGCCCCCTGATCCTTCATCATTCCTTTATCCTGCTCAGCCCTGCTCCCCCTTATGCCCCTCCTTCCTCCTCCACTCTCCATCCACCTTCTTCTCCTGCCCCTCCCCTGCGTCCTCCTCCACGCCCCCCGCTCCTCAGCCCTGCGCAGATCGGCGATGGGTTTCGATTTGGGCGCCGCCGCAAGCGCGGCCCGCTGCGGCCGCCGCATCCTGGCCGCCGCCAGCAATTCAATGCCTACTGAAGAGAGTGGCAGGGGTGGCAGGGCTCGAGCTCGTCGGCTTGCCCGCGAGCGCGCCCTCCCGCCAAAGTGGCGTCTGCCCTCGCGCCCCAAGACGGCCTCGACGCCACATAGCGCACTCCGCGCCTGACTCGCGTTTAGCCGAAGCAAACTGCCAGGCTGCCACTGGTCGAGCCTTGCGACCGACGAGCTAACTACATCGTTGATTACGCATGCATGCGCTGCTGAGGCACTGCGCGCAAAATCTCGACGCGCGCGCCAACGACTGGCGCGCGCGCTGGCTGGCACTCACAAAAAAACAAAAAAAACACGATCTCGTTGTCCCGATCCCTTTCTTTCTAAGTTCGCATCCCTCGTCCCGCCCAGGCCCTTCCCCCGCCCCCCCGCCCCGCGCGCCGGGGGCCTGGCTCGGCCGCGAAACAGGCTAGTCAGCTAGTCAGACGATGTTGACGACGCCGACGACGACGACGAGGGCGACGCCTGCTCAGACCTGGACTCGGGATGTTCGCTCTCGGAACTGCTGTCGACATCGACCACTGCCACTGAATCGCGGGCACGACGCAGATCTGGCGAGGCCAACCACCTCTGGTGCCCGGGCGCCCATTCTCCTCCTCCCTCCCGGACTCCCTCCCCCCCCCACCTCTCGTCGCAGCTTCGTGCCCGTCCCCTTCCCGCCCCTCCTCCCGATCACCTCCCGTCGCCACCCTCCTCTGTCCGACCTGTAGAGCCAGACGGAGGCAACCACCGCCGCGTTCATGGCGTTGCCGCTCTGATGCAGCATCTCAGCGCGGTCCCTCGGCGGCAGCCTGTTAGCGTAGGAACTTGAACCAGGCCCCGCGGCCCCAACGACCCCGCCGTCGAGCTGCGCCAGCGATGGCGACGAGTGTTCATACAGATTCGGCCGACCGACTGACAGCCTGTCTCCGCGAGGGCGGCTGAAGCTGGACACCTCGTGACCCCAAGACCACTGGAAGACCGGGAACCCCTGGGCCGCCAGCGTCTCCTGTCCGCTCAGCCAACGGCCAGAATAAAGCCGCCCATCTTGAGCGGGAAAGTCACCCCAAATGTAGCCGCAGTTCCGAATGAGCGTCTGAAGTTCGGCATCAGGTTTGCAATAGCATCTCCGGCCTGAGAGGAAAGTTCCTGCTGCTTCTTTTTCTCTCTCTCTCTCTCTCTCTCTCTCTCTCTCTTTCTCACTGTCTCTCTCTCTCTCTCATTCTCTCATCCTCGTCCATCTCCTACTCTTACGTTAGTCAATCCTGGGACCCCCCCCCCCTCCAACCTCCCACCCCCTGGTCGCCTCCCCAAACAGTGCCAGCATGCAAACGTGAAACGATATGGGGCCC